AGAATTTATAAAATCGCAAGGCCTATATAGGTTAAAAAAAAAAAAAAATCCACCTGAAAGGTGAGACAGCTGGGGTATGTATACACCTTCCCTGTCATCACTCATTGAGGGATGTCCTAGGGGATGCTCATTCCAGTCCCTGAAGTCTGCCATGTGTGCAGGCAGAGCTGCCTTCCCCAGCTTCAGACAGAGAGAGCAGAGAGGGGCAGATATGGCCATGTGAAGTGATGAGAAGTACAGTGAACAGGAAAGGCCAAGCCTAACAACAGTGACTGCTACACTCACCCAGAAAACAATAAAATGTGTATTTTGATCCAAACCTGCGTCTTTCTGAACCTGAGTCCTGGCACGCTGTTTGCTAGCCAGTTCCCTTTCAATTTAGACCATCTGGGAAAGCAACAGGAAGTATTTTTGTACACACACCGTATAACTGTGGTCTGACTGCCTGTAGTCATGCATGAGAAATACTCTCCAGAGTCCTCTGGCTGCAGTCCACTGATGCTGATGTACTGGGTTCTACTTTCCCTACTGCTGACAGGGCAGGGGTGCCCTAGACAAAGGCAGAGATGTGAGGTACAGAGGTTCAAATCTGTGTCCAAGAGTTAACTGAATTCAAGATATTTTTTATTATGTAACAGTGGTGGCTTGGCAGGAGTTGGAAACCCTCTCCTGGATATAAAACAGGGAGGCTGGCATCTGGGTTAGGAAGATGTCCTCAATCAGTGCTAAAGAGTAAAAGAAGAAAGTGGCATTGATGGTGCAAGGCAGGCATAGGCACGGAGTAGCAGCCGCCCTCGCTGGAATAAAGAGTTCCCTGACCTGGCTTTCCCCAGGGCCTCCCCCTCACCTGCTCTCCAGGAATCTAGGCCCCAGAGGAGCTGCACCCAGGCCCAGCCCCATGTGTTCTCCTATTGCAGCACAATATGTCCTTAAACAAAATTGGTTCTGAGAACTGGGGCTGCTGCTGTAACAAATGCCTGGAAATGTGGAAGTGGCTTTGAAGCAGAAAAATTTGGAGAGGCTGAATGAATTTGAAGGAGAAGGCCAAAAAACACCTAGATTGCTACAAATGGAGCATTTAGGGAGATTCTGTTCAGGACTCAGAAGAAGAGTACAAATGTAAAGAAAGTCTTGAACTTCTTAGAGATTAAGTAGTCATGATCAGAATGCTGGTAGAAATATGAATGGTAAAGGCCATTCTGAAGTGGTCTCAGCTGGAACTAAGGAACATGGTATTGGGAACTGGATGATGGATCATCCTTGTTCTGCAGTTGCAAAGAACTTGGCAGAATTATATCCATGTCCTAGGGCTTTATAAAAGGCAGAATTTAAGAGTGATGAATTAGGATGTCTGGTAGGAGAAATGTCTAAACAACAAAGTGTTCAACGTGCTGCATGGCTTCTTTGGTGAGTCACAGTCCAATGAGAGTAAAAATAATAATGTAACATATAATTTACCTTTAAAAGAAAAGCAAAATGGAAAGATTTGGAAAACTTTCTGCCTGCTCATGTAAAGAATAAAGAAGCACGTTCAAGAGAGAATAGCGGGGGCGTGGCCAAGCAACTGTTTGCCAAAGAGATTAATGTGGACAGAAGGAAGCCAGATTCTATCTGTTAAGACAATAAGAAAATGACGCTGAAGTCATTTCAGAAATCTTCAAAGGCAAGTTAGAACCTTGGAAGCAAGGTTTTCAAAGAGGTGCCAATATGTCCTCAGCATTTGCTCTGCTGTCCTGCCTTGGGACTCTGCTTCTAGAATTTTATTGCACCACACCCTGGCTGCCCCAGCCATAGTTCAAGTGTGTCCAGGTGTGGTTTCACCTTCCTCTCCAGAAAGTACAAGGTGTAAACCCTGGCAGCATCCATGTTGAGCTCATTTTATATGCGTTCAGAATGCAAGAGATGTGGGACCATAGCAGCATCCATCTAGATTTCAAAAGATGTCGTGGATATATTGGGTCCCAGGCAGAGACTTACAACAGGGGAAAGCCTCCACAGAAAATCCCTGCTAGGGCAACGTCTACTAGAGCCATGAAAGTGAGGCAGCCTGGGAGACCACTGAAATGTAGGACCACCAGCATGCAACTCCAGCCTTGGAAAGATGGAGGCTCAAGACTCCAACCCACGAAGGATTCTGGTTGAAGTGAGCCCAGTAAAGCCATAGAAGTAGGGCTGCCTGAGGCATTGGTAAACCAACTCCCACCCCAGATTGTCCAGGATGTGAAACTTAAAGGCAAAGATTATTCTCCACCTTTAAGACTTAAAGTTGTTTTTCCTGTTGGGTTTTTGGCTTACATGGGACCAATTAACCCTTTCTTTTTAATCTATCTCTCTTTTTTTAGACTGAGAATGTTTATCTTATGCCTGCCTCACCGCTGTACAGTTGTCCCTCAGTATCCATGGAGAATTGGTTCCAGGGTCCTCCACAAATATCATAATCTATAGACATCAAGTCCTGCAGTCAGCTCTGAAGAACCCAAAAATACAACAAGTATGCCCTCTGCATCTGTGGATTCTGCATCTCCTGAATACTCGATTGTCAGTCCATGGTTGTTGAATCTATGGATGTGAAACCCATGAGTATGAAGGGCCAATTGCATTTTGGAAGCATGTAACTTGTTAATTCACAGGCTCATACCTAGAATAAATTTGCCTGGAATAAACAGTGCCTCAAATCTTACCCATATGTGATTTAGATGAGGCTTTGGACTTTGAACCTCTGATTTGATGCTGGACCAAATTGAGACTTTTGGTGGTATTGGGATGAAATGAATGTATTTTTCATGTGAAAAGAACATAAACTGCGGGTAATGGGATGGAATGCTGTGATTTGAATGTGTTCTCCAAGGTTCATGTGTTAGAAATTTAATTCCCCATGCAGCAATATTGGGTAATTAGGTCACTAGGGCTTTGCCCTCATGGATATTTAATGTCATCATCATGGGAGTGAGTTTGTTATAGTGAGAGTAGGCTAGTCATAAAAACAAATTTGACCCCCCTCTTGCCCTTCCTCACTCTTCTTGCCTTTCCGTCATGGAGATGCAGCCAGGAAGCCCTTGCAAGATACCTGCACCTTGATATTGGACTTCCCCACCTCCAGAACTGTGAGAAATAGATTCCTACTTTAAAAAACAAATTACTCAGTTTCAAGTATTCTGTTATAACAGCACAGACTGAAACAAACATGTTACTATCATTATTTATTTTCAGTCAACATTCTCCTATTTTGTCCAAGGGGAGCCCCATTCAAGCTTGTTCCTAGTACCTTTTCCTTTGACACTATTATTTTCTGAGCACTTCCTTAATTTCTGACACAAGAAGTGCAGTCTCATTTTATATTTTCTCTGTTCTAAACCTGAAACCAGTTATTTCCAATATTTATTTATTTATTTTAGTAGCGATTGGTATCCAATAAAACAAGATTTGGGCACTAACAGTGTCTATTGAGACTTGTGTGTAACTGCTTCTAGGAAAAATTACCTATCTATCTATCTACATATGTTTTAATCTATATCCTATAAAACTATACAAAAATTAGTGAATCTACACTAATATCTCTAATTACAATCCAAATTTACAGTTTCTCCCTTTTTGTATTTGTAACTTTTTTCTAAACTGAGAATCTTGGCTGTAACTATTCATGTCACATTTACTTAAATGATCAAATGCTTTGTGTGACACAAATCTCCTACTGTCCCTGTCACCTAAAGTCGTCTTGCAGAGAACTTTCCTCTTATGCCCCACACACCTTCATTAGCCTTGATATTTTGTGCCAGTCCACCTTGAACTTTGAACTCCTGCACGGGTGCCCTTTTCACCCCCCTGGGCTCTGACATTAGCAGTGGTGGTCTCCACCCCTGTGACTGTCCTGCTTATCCTCATCCAGCTGTGACATCCTGCACAAGTGGGAGGAAGGCTCTTGTATCCTGCACACCCATGTGGGGATACTCATCTCTGCTAACTATGGCTTCAACACCCAGGTGGGCTTTTCTCTCTACTCCATAATATGAGTGCACTTTCTGTACTGTGTGGGCCCAGTATCTTATACAATTCCCTGGCTTTTTGTTGCATAGTTTTCTTTCTGAACCTGCTCTGGTCAAGTGCCCTAAACCCAATCATTAAGAACTGCTTTCTCTTAGGAGCTGGAAGAGATTGGTGATTTGGAAATGTGAAGTTATAAGAAACAGAGTAGGCCCAGGGACAGAGGGCAAGCACTTGGTTTAGAGGACACCTCAGCTTCTGAAGGGGAATAACTTGGATAAGAATAATAAAAAGCATAAATAGAATTCAAGGAGCACAGGGAAACTTCTAGCATGAGACTGTATAATGGCATACAGAGCTAGAATATAGCTGAGAATTTTCCGAAGCAAATTTCTCATGTTGGGTGGCCTAAATGGAAGAGGTGGGAAAGAACATTCAGATATGGAGGATGACAATTATGTGCCTGGAAATGGCAGATTAGCTATGCCAGATAGCCAGTGACAGAACCTTTCCTTGTTATGGCACTATTTTCAAGTATTATGGTTTTTATTATTATTATTTATTTATTTTTAATAACTATCTATCTATCATCTATCTACCATTCATGCTTATACTTTAATGCATCCATTGTTGGTGGTACTGACAATTTACAATGCTGTGGGCTCCAGGGAATTGGACCAAAATGGAAGTCTCTCTGACCTTAATAATATTCACCAGTATCAAATGGAGAAAACTTCTAAAATTTCTTGAGTTTCTACAGATATGTTTCCCTAGCAGACCTTATCAAAAATAGAAAGCTAGCAAGAGGAGCATGTCATAAAACATGAAGAGAGCAAAAGAACACTCCACACATAGGACAGTAAGCTGATTCTGTCCCGTAGCCCTCAGGGAGAAACACATGCTCTGCAGACTTTGGACACCTGGGAGGCACTGGGCCTGTGCAGTGTTATTGAGATAAGTCATCTTCACAGCTGTGCAGATTTGCATGTCCCACAGAGCAACACCTACTGCCCCGAAGATTTATCAGTAGGCTGGTGACACCCTGTGAGGAAGTCTCTCTCAGTCAGGACACAGCATGGACATGAAGGTGTCCGCTCAGCTCCTGGGGCTCCTGCTGCTCTGGCTCCCAGGTAAGGAGGAAAACAACAAAAATTTTTTTCAGCCAATGTAGTAATTAATGCCTGGCACTTTAGGAAGTTCCTCTTATAACATTATTCATCACGTAGATATGTGTTTTTATGTTTCTAATATCAGATACCAGATGTGACATCCAGATGACCCAGTCTCCATCCTCTCTGTCTGCATCTGTGGGAGACAGAGTCACCATCACTTGTCATGCGAGTCAGAGCATTAGCAACTGGTTAGCCTGGTATCAGCAGAAACCAGGGAAAGTTCCTAAGCTCCTGATCTATAAGGCATCCACTTTGCAATCTGGGGTCCCATCTCGGTTCAGCGGCAGTGGATCCGGGACAGATTTTACTCTCACCATCAGCAGCCTGCAGCCTGAAGATGTTGCAACTTATTACTGTCAGAAGTATAACAGTGCTCCTCCCACTGTGATACAAACCCAAACATAAACCATGGAGGGAAGTAGACGTGTGAGGCTGGGTTGCCCCAGCTGCTCCTCCTGGTGCCGCCGTCTGCTGACAGCAGTTCTCAGATGCAGCCAGGGTTTGAAGGTCAATGGAAAGTTTTGGTAGAAGGGGTCAGAGAGGCACATCTACATTCTATCTCTCTTTAGCCTCAGCTCCATCAGCTGATATGGAAATGTCTCTCCTGATTATTACTAATAAAGGACAAAGAAAATTACATCTAGGAGGTCTGGATTGCAGCATCAGTCAGACTTACACAACAAAGGAGAAGGTACTCTATATATTTTTGAAAGATATTTTTTTTTGATACAGGGAATTCAAGTCTAAACTATGACCCAAACCATCATTCTCAGCAAACTGACAGAAGAGCAGAAGATCAAACACCGCATGTTCTCACTCATAGGCGGGTGTTGAACAATGAGAACACATGGACACAGGGAGGGGAGCACTACACACTGGGGTCAGTTGGGGGGAAATAGGGGAGGGACGGTGGGGGGTGGGGAGCTGGGGAGAGATAGCAAGGGGAGAAATGCCAGATGTAGGTGATGGGGAGGAAGGCAGCAAATCACACTGCCACGTGTGTACCTATGCAACAATTTTGCATGTTATTCACATGTACCCCAAAACCTAAAATGCAATAAAATAAATAAATGGAAAAAAAAGAAAAAAAAGATCAGAGACATAAGTATATACACATATAAGTATGTGCAGCCAACAGCATATCAAATAAGCATATTGCATCTATATGTATATTGTAAACATTTACGCTCCGATCCCACCTTCTTCCAATACTATCCAGATTAAGATCTACACTCTTCCCAGCATCTCAAAGGTCTCCCCAAGTTACTTCCCTGTCAATTCCATGTTCCATCTATCATCATCCTAGGCTTCCACTCTATTTTATATCAATATTTATTAATTTTTCCTATTCTTAAGCTTTATATAATTGTAATCATACAGTATTCTGATGTTTTGCTTATTTTGATCAAAATATTTTTGAGCTTCATCTGTATCGTTTCTGTGGCAGTAATTTGTGCCTTTTTATTGCAGAATAATTTTCTATGAACATACTAAATTGTATTCATTCTTCAAATAATGATTTGTTTTTGGTTTAAGAATATTACTGTTAAAAAGCTTAAGAACATTCTTGTACTTGTCTTTTGTGGACTTATGCACTCATTTCTCTTGGGAATATTCTTAAGAATGGAAGTGCTGAGTTGTAAAGTTGGCATAAATTTTGTCTTAGTAAACATTGACAATAGTTTACTGAAGTTCTGAACATATTTATACTAAACCAACCACACGTAACAAAAGTCTCAATTGCTATCAATCTTTTTCAATACTTAGAACTGTCAAACCTATTATTGTATGTAGCGTGGAGGCCAAAGCAACCACATCTTGGGTGCTAATTTGCCAGGTTTGACTTCTGATTAACCTGTGTCCTGAAATGGTCTCTAAGATTTTCAGTTTATCTATTGTTTATTATTTAAAAGCAAGTACTTAGCATAAATCCTGTCCTTGGATTGAACAACATTGAGGTAATCATTCTTTGATTATCATACACATTCTTTCTGAACCACTGATGTCCTATGATATACAAGCCCTATTTGGGAGGGGTAATGGCAAGTGATTGACCATCTTATCTCCCCACTGCCAAAGACACAGACATGGCCTCTGTTTTTAAGTCTCTATTAGATGTTTCTTTCTGAGAAACTGGATGTGTCAGCCTCTTTCTTCAGCCTTTCAGCTTCCTCAGACATTGGGGTTAAGTTTGCTTAGATCTGCCCTGTCATGTGCTCTCCAAGGTCAGAGTTAACCAGGCCCATGCATGTTTGTGTCTTTCCACAATATCAGACTTTTACTCATGGTATTTCAAACACAGAAGCTGCAAGCTACATGGCGTTCCCAAGGAGTCATTCAATAGTGTTGAGGGCACACAGGCCAAAGTCACTGCACAAGCCGGTCAATATTGCAAAACATACACAATAGGACCCTTAATCAATATGTAAACATTAGAAGTTAAACTTTTACACAGCAAACAATGTAACATTTAACATTAAAAAAAAAAAGAAAAAAAAAGGAGAAAGGGTTATCAAATCAGTCCAAGAGTAGTGAAGAAGACAAAAACAATCCTGGTCTGGCCTGAAGGTCCCTCGGTCCTTGCAAGGAAGAGTCTCTGATGTGGCAGAGCCTTCTTAGGCAGATGTGGAGTTCTTATCACAAGCCACAGTGGGACAGTTGTCAGTTAACATGGCCCTTTTGAGATACTGAAAACCTGCATTTTTATGGTCACAGAGTCCTCTGGTGAGAACTGATAGTGGAAGCGTGTGCTTGTTTGTGACCATATCTGGTTGGACACAGTCTTTATTTTTTATTTTTTATTTTTTAGGCAAATCATTCTATTCTTGTTAGAAAGCTGCCCTATGAAACATATAATGCAGTCTTTATCTGAGATAGAGTTAATTATGTCAAAGATGCACTATACATATCCACTGCAAAACATCTGTACTGATAAATCTGAAATTGTATCATGATTAATATTTACACTTACTTAATTGGTAATGATGTTGAGTCACGTTTCATGTGTTTATTTTTATTGGCTGTTTGCATATCTTATCTTTAGGGAAGTTCCTGTTCAAATTGTGTGTGCGTGTGTGTGTGTGTGTGTGTGTGTGTGTGTGTATGCGTAATGTTATATTAATCATATACATATATATGATTAGAAGTTCTTAATTATAATGCAATCTAATTTGTCATTTTACTTGTCATTTTTTCTCTTGTGTTTGTTTTGTGTGTTTATGTGTGTCCTCTGTTTAATAAACTTTTACCACCAAAGGGCTTACAGATGTGCTCCTATGCTTTCTTATAGAAGCATCATTAGTTTACCTCTCACATATAGACAGCAGTCTACCTCTAATTCATATTTTTACCTGGATGAGGCAGATCAAGAATTTTATTTTGATGTCTCATTTTATTTTCATTTTTGTACTCAACAACTCCTCATCATTCCCTGTAAAAATGAAACAAAACAAAACAAACAACAATTGAAGAAAAACCTGTACTTCACTCTATTGCCTGTGCTTAAAAATCAGATGGGCTGAGACAAGAGAATTACTTGAACATGGGAGGCGGAGGTTGCAGTGAGCCAAGATTGTGCCACTGCACTTCAGCCTGGATGACAGAGTAAGACTTCGTCTCAAAAAATAAAAATAAAAATCACATGACTGTGTATAAATGATCTTTATTTTGACTCTTTATCTCTGTACCTACGGTATACCCACCGTCTTAATTACTATCTTTATTATAGAGAAGAAAAATAAAGTCAGAAGACATAATACCAGATTTTTAGATTTAAGATTTTCTTGACTATTCTACATTGTTTGAATTTCCATGTGAATTCTAGAATCACCCTTTCAATTTCAAAAATCCCCTTGAAGATTTTAATTGGATTGCATTGAGTCTATCAGTCAAACTGGAGAAAACTGAAATCTTAACAATATCAAGTCTTCCCTTTTATAAACATGAAAATATCCTCTATTTACTTACATATTCTTTAATCCACCACAGATATTTCTCTATTTACATTGTGTGCAGAGATCTTGCTAAGTTATTATTTCTAGTGATTAAGTTTTAGATTCTTTAAGAACCGATGTACAAATTTTATTAGCAAATACAAATATTTTCCTTGTTCATTTCCAAACTCCATGCATTTTGTTTGTTTATTTGTTTTGAATGTTTGCATGTCTTAGGACCTCCATTATAATTTCGTATAGTGGATGGTTCCATATTTTTTACAATTTGGAAAGTAAAATGTTTAATATTTTATTACTATGTATGATGTTTGCTGTCAAATTGCCTGTACCATTTCTCAACAATTCTAATCCTCAGTAATTCTAAAGATGGATTATTTGTAGATGCTTTATCAGAATAAGGTGATTTTCCATTATTCCGGGCTTGCTCTGGCTTGCTGAGAGTTTTATCATGTATGACTGTTGACTTCTTTCAAGTGACTTTCAGCTACTATTAAGATAATCAAAGTTGCTTTCCTGTTGTGGCCTGCGTGGTGTCGGCTCGTGGGTCTCAGAGACCTGAAAATTAAGAGCATTTTTACGCCCCAGGGACCTCTTGTGGCGGCTCTGCGGCCATCACCATGCCACAGAACGAATATATTGAATTATATCGCAAACGCTATGGATACCGTTTGGATTACCATGAGAAAAAGAGAAAGAAGGAAAGTCCAGAGGCTCATGAACGTTCAAAGAAGGCAAACAAAATGATTGGTCTGAAAGCTAAGCTTTACCATAAACAACGCCACGCTGAGAAAATACAAATGAAAAAGACTATCAAGATGCATGAAAAGAGAAA